AAAAAAACTAGAATGATCAGTTAGACAAAAACTAATGATAAGCCAGAGTGGTGGTGGATGCCTATAATCCCAGTGGCTAAGAAGGTTGAGACAGGAGGATTGTAAGTTTGAGGCCAGCCTGGGCAACTTAGCAATGCCCTAAGCATCTTAGCAACACACTGTCTCAAAAAAATATAAAGGGCTCAGTGGTTAAGCAACCCTGGGCTAAATCCCTAGAACAAAACAAACAAACAACAACAACAACAACAAAACTAATGACAAAAAAGAAAGAACAGGCAATTACAAAAACAGATCTGAAATAATAAGATTGAATCTTTAGAACTGAACAATATAATTATTAAAATTAAAATGTACTGAATTTGTTAGATAGCAAATTAGGCACCAGCTGAAGAGAGACTTAAAGAACTGAAGTAGTGTTTCTCAAATTTTAACATGCATAGAAATTACTTGGGGAAATTGCTAAAATAAAAAAACGTGATTGGTAGGTTGAGGGTCCAGCTCTGCCTTTCTAAAAGATCCTGCAATGTTGATGCTATTAGCCCACAGACTGTGTAACAAAAGGACAAAAGAAAATAGACTTGAAGAAATTACCCAAGATAATCAATCATAAAAAACAAAGGCAGAAAATACAATAGGCTAAGAAATAAGAAGCATGGAACAAGAAAGTCTAACATGTTTACTAAAGACCTACAAGTAGAGAATATTGAGAGAAGATCCACCCCTTACATTTTTAGGGCCTAGAATAAGCACAAATGGAGGCCTATACATATGTCTTAATATTTAAAAGTTAAAAACAAAGTTAATAAACTCTTAAACTATGTTCTGTCCTCCCACTTTCATAATTATACCTTTATGACAATGCAGAAAGCCAGGATCAAATTTAGACTACTTGGGCTTCCAAGAATCCTGTGCTAAAAAATTCAAAAGAATAAAGCAATGCCTCTTAGGGCCTGTCCCTCACCTTGTCTTGGGTTTTGTACCAATGAATGTAGACATTTCAGCCTATATATCCAAGCTGTATCCATACACGACTTAGCACAGTGCTTTGACCAACCTGAGGACATGTGGTACACATCCAAGCATATGCTTTACCTTTTAAGAAACCTGCCCACAGAAGGAACCCAGAGAGAATATGGAAGTGGGCTATGAAGCAGCTGGGCAGGGAAATTCAGGAGGTCCTAAAATATGGTCTGGAAATGGGGAAGGAGGCTCTGGGAGGCACACTCAGTTGTCAGAGATAAGTGAATGGCTTGGTTCCAGGGACACCTTGTCAGATGTAGAAGAATGTTGGATGGAGGATGAACAGAGCAGGACCTTCTATAAATGAGGCCCAGACCAGGAATCCAATTTGGGTTTAAGAGTGGCATTGGAAGAGAAAATGTTAGAGAATTTTCAGATCAGATAAAATAATTAACTTGCAAATATATGAAGTTCATCAAATATTTAGTTTAAAAAATCCACAATTAGACACATCTTCATTGAAAATGCATAAAACAGAAGACCAAGAAAAGATCTTCTAAGCAGAAAAGGGAATTCACCCACAAAGTGACAAGTAGAATGACTGGTATCTTCCCAATAGCATTAATGGATTATCTTTTAAGTGTTGAGAAAAAAAACAACTGTTAACTCAGAATTTTCTAAAAATAGCAACAAACAAAATTATTTGAAGAATCATCCAGGGTGAAAATAAAGGCATTTTCAGATAAACACAACTGAGAGTTTACAATCAGCAGACAATCATTCAAATAAGGAAGATCATTAAAGGAATAAAAAATGACTCCAAAAGGACAGTGTGATATGCAGGAGGAAATAGTTAAGTGAATTGATAAATCTTTGCCCTCATCAGGTGATGATAACAAAATATTATTTTTGAAGTTAAAAAAAAAAACTAAAATACTACAGAACAAGGTAAAAGAAGGGTGATGGGAGCATACTAAGGTTTTTATACTGTTGGGAGGTAGAGTTAGGGTATTAACTTTAAATGTTTTTAAGTGGGCTGTGTTTGTAGCTCAGTGGTATAGCAGTTGCCTACCATGTGTGAGGCCCTGAGTTCAATCCTCAGCACCACATTAAAATAAATAAATAAATAAAGGTATTGTGTTCATCTACAGTTTTAAAACAAAAGAATTTAAAAAGTGATTTTAAGCATACGATGTAAATTTCAAAGTAGTCACAAAAATGATAGAATTATATAGTCTGTAACTTATAAACCAGAAGACTAGGAAAAAAAAATAGAATAAGGAAACAGATTATTAGAACATACATTTTTTTAATAGGCAAGAAAGGCCAAAACAATAAGCATAGAGTTGAGCATGGAGGCTAATGTCTATCATCCAGTTAGGAGGGAGGTTGAGACAGGTAGAGGCCAAGTTTTAGTCTATCCTGGGCAACTTAATAAGACTGTCTCAAAAAAAAATGAGAGAGAGTGTGTGTGTGTGTGTGTGTGTGTGTGTGTGTGTGTTATGTGTGTGCTGGAGGTGAAGCTCAGTGGTACAGCTTATATGTGAAGGCCTTTGGTTCAATCCCTAATAATGCAAGAAGAAAAAAATAACAGAGTTTAGAAAATGAATAACAAATACAAAGTAAAAAGTTAAATATAAGTCCAAATAAATAGTCACAATACATATAAATGGACTGAAATTATTGGTTAAAAGTAGACAATAAAAAAATCTGCTACTTTCTATTTATAAGACATTTTCTAAAACATAGGAATACTGAAAGCTTAAAAGGTAAAATTGAAACAAAACTAACAAACAATCCCCTGGAGGTAATTACTAACCAACAGAAAACTAGGAAAATTACATTAATATCTAACAGAGGAGGCTTTTTGAGATAAAATACATTGTTGGAAACAGAAATAGTCCTTACCTAATGATAAAGGCTCAATTCACCAAACGAATCACCAAACAAGTTTAGATGCATTTAGCAAAGCAGTTCTAAATTATAAATGGGAAAATCAACAGAATGATAGGGAAAAATAATGAAGCTCATCATCATAGTTTGTCTCAATTATTGAGAGTTCATGTGTATCAGCATATCAGGAATACTTCTGCAATCCTAACTTAAAGAAATCAATTTTATTTTCTAAAGGATGCTTAAGTGTGACCAGCTTTGGTGGCGCAAGCCTGTAATCCCAGCGATTTAGGAGGTCAGGCAGGAGGATAGCAAGTTCAAAGCCAGCCTCTGCTCATTGGCAAAGACCTTGTCTCCCCCCACCTACACCCCGCAAAATTAAGAGGGTGGAATGTAGGTCAGTGGTCAAGTGACCTTGAGTACCCCAAAAACAAAACAAAAACCTTTAGCGTGGAAGACAACACACGAGAGAAAAAAAAATCCGAATTCTGTAGAAATCTCAATTTCTTTTTGGAAATAGTATCTAAGTATTTTAATTACTAAGCACTTCCTCAAGAATCGGGGAGCAGAAGGCAATACAGGAATGGACACTTAACTACGTGCAAGCGGGCATTCTAATTAACTGCCATTACACATCTTTTAAGCACTTAAAGAACAAATAGTTTCTTAACAGGGTTCAGATATTTCAACGTTACTTAAAACTGCTTCATATAAATGGAACTGATCTTAGGACGGAGAAAGATGAGCCAAAAATTTAAGGCGCAGGCAATGAGGACACCTATGAGAAACCAGTGGGGTCCTAGAGCAGCCAGGGAATTGCTCCGTCCTTCAGGCGGGCATATGGGCAGCTATGTCGGGTGTGGTGGGGGCCTCAAGGAAGCTACTGCGCAGGCGCGCGAATCGTAAGTCTACGACGGAGGGGGTAGGTTCTTTCTTTTCGCTCTCAGACATGGTGAGTGTGGATGGTTTTTACCGGGCTCCTCAGAGTGATCAGAAAAATAGTATGTACTGTTGAGCAGTTAGTTGCTATAGGTTATCTGTCCAGTATTAGAGAATGTTTAGGTTAAGACGCGGGCCTTGGGAACTTTCTGAGGGCTCAGGTTGAAGTATTACTCAGCGTTTTCTGCAAATTTCGCAGGCGCAATTGCCGCTTCTAATTTTATGTAGGCTTCATCCTTTTGGGCGGGCCTCTTTTGGGTTGAGCGGCCGCGTTTCTTGGTTCCTCTAAAAAAAGCCTCACTGATGGCTGACTTTCCCTCCGTGTTTATTGATTTCTGTGTACATACACACATTTTTCCGTGCTTTTTGTAATTAGTTTTGGGTTCGAGTAAGTTTTAGAAATCATTAGCGATGAGGCTTTCCAATTTTTTTTTTCTTTTCCCTGGTCCTGGGGTTTGAATCGTGGCCTTCGAGCATGGTACGCAAGCCAGTCGTTTCTAATTTTATTTTGAGACACGAGTGGAAAAAATTGCCCAGACTCCCTTGTGCTTGAAATCCTTATGCTTCACCCTCTTGGATAGCTGGAAATCTCCTAAATTTTAAATGGAATCCAAAGGAAATTTGCTACTCAATTTTATTTTGGGTCATTTCCGTGGCATACTTCTGGTAACAACAGTTCAGTCTTAGTCACTAAGGTGTAGATATATGAAAAAACTAATAACTACATTATTTGGGGATTGTTGGAAATACTCGGATTGAGCTTAACAGTGGTGAAGGAGTTAATGGGATTGCATACTTCATTATTGGAATGGTTTATGAGAGTAGAGGGTGCTTTGAAACATGAGTTTGATTAAACGGGAGTGCAAATTATTTTCCACCCAGACATTAAAAAAAAATTGCGTCTTTCTGCCACGTGTTAAGTTTTCCCCATTTGGTAAGCTTTTACTTAACTGAGTGAAAGACAGGAACAATAAATGCAAGTGGTAATTTTTGGGTCAATGATGAGCTGGCATGTATTCTGAATCAAAAGTTGATTATTAATACTTTAGCTCTAGAATTACTCTGAGACCTGAATAATACCTGAATTTGACTGGTTGTTTAAAAAGTTACTTTTACAACAGATACCTGAGATTTTTTTAATTGGAAAATTTTCAGTGAGAAAATTCAGGTGTAAATTGGATGTATGCTAAGGGGCAGAGTAAACATTGATGAGATTGCTGCTTTTTTATTTTTGAAAGGGCACACCACAGAAGGATGTTATCATCAAGTCTGATGCACCTGTCACCCTTTTACTGGAGAAACATGCAGATTATATTGCATCCTATGGCTCAAAGAAAGATGACTATGTATGTATGAATTTTTATGTTCAAGAGTTGAAGTCTGACATATCTAAGTAATATAGCAGTATTTATGTCTTGTTAAAGTGGTATCCTCCTCTATGCAGAGGACTGAAGATTTGCCCTTAAAGTTTAATATGTGTCGCTTGTATATTTGAGTTTGGTGGTCTGGCAGAATCAATATGATCTTACCCATAAGTAGAGACTTTGCCAGATAAAGAAGATAAGAGTATAAGGTTAAAAAATAGGCTTCTATTTTTGTGATTGAGGTATACATTCAAGGTCAATGATGTATTGGCATGTATTACCTGAATTTACTGCTGATGTGTAATACTTAGCTCTAGAATTACACTGAGACCTTGAGAAAATTTTGCCTCAATTTTTTTGTAACAGGGATTGAAGGGGGGGGGGGGCGTGCTTAATCACTGAGCCACATCCCCAGTCCTTTTTTAAAAAATATTTTATTAGAGATAGGATCTCATTAATTTGCTTAGTGCCTCTAAGTTGCTGAGGCTGGCTTTGAACTTCCAATCCTCCTGCCTCAGCCTCCCAAGCCCCTGGGATTATAGGTGTGCGCCACCAGGCCCAGCATTACCTCAAGCTTTTAAACAATAATTTAAGTAGATTACCTGGCTCCATGAGAATATTAGCAAGAAGTAGTGAACAGTTTGGCTATAGTATCTGAGCAGCTAGTTTTCTGCCATCTTGGGAAACAAACATCTGATATTAACTTTCGCTCCTAAGTTTTAGGTTTTTAACCCTGTAGTTTCATATTTCTTAATAGGATAATGAACTTAAGTCAGAACTTCAATTTCCCCAGTGTGACTTTAAGAGGCATGAACCTTGACTTGTTCCTTTTTAATGAATTGTCTCCTTTGAACCCTGGATTTGGTTTGGCAGCAAACTAAGATTCTCATCTGATTTACAGTCTCTAAAATAATGCACTGTTGAGTGCAGCAAATTTTTGTTTGGGGCTGGGGTTATAGCCAAGTGGTAGAGTGCTTGCCTAGCACATATGAGGCATTGGGTTCTATCCTCAGCATCACGTATAAATAAAATGAAGGTATTGTGTCCATCTATAACTAAAAATACTTAAAAAAAATTGTTTCTGGAATCCATACTAATTTTTAAGTCTTCTTGATTGTCTACTACTTGAGTTGGGCATCTATCTGCACATCTACTTTCTGTGTTTTTAGGTCATTTTTGTAAATTCATAGATAATAGATTTTGTGCCACATTCACATTAAAAGAATGGATGTCTGATAAGTGGTATAGGTACTTTGAAAGAAACACTGAACTTTACTGATATAAACAGATCTTTTTTTGTTGTTTTTTAAAGCTCTGGTTTGCCCTTAAATTTTCAAACAGGTGAATTAATCCTGGTTAATCCAGTTTATAAGCCAGCTATTAGTGTTAAATCTCTTTAACCTGTCATAAATTCAAACTGACACATTTAAGAAATTGTTGTTTTAGGAATACTGTATGTCTGAGTATTTGAGAATGAGTGGTATCTACTGGGGTCTGACAGTAATGGATCTCATGGGACAACTTGATCGGATGAATAGAGAAGAGATTCTGACGTTTATTAAGTCATGCCAACATGAGTGTGGTGGAATAAGTGCAAGCATTGGACATGATCCTCATCTTTTGTATACTCTTAGTGCTGTCCAGGTAAATGTTTCAGATTCAATAGTCTTGATAATGTATTCTCTTTTCTCAAGAGTCAAGAATTGAAACTGTACTAGGAAGATGATTAGTATGTTAATGTTAAAAAGTCTTGTTCTGTTTAAGTCATTCCCACAAGGTCAGTGATGTGGTGGCATGTATTATCTGAATGCAAAGTGATGTGAATTCTAAAATTACACTGAGACCTTGAGGGTAAATTTTTTTCCTTCAGTATATGTAACATTGAAAATAATGAGAATTTAATATTGAAGTCTATTTATACTTAAGTTGATATATTTAATAACAGGATAGTCTGCATGTTTTGAGAAAGGTTCATATAGACAAAGGACATGATTGTTTGACATCTTAGAAAGTAACTGCAAAAGAACACACTTGAAAGGTTACTTACCAGATTCATTTATCTTTCTTACAGATTCTTACTCTTTATGATAGTATTAATGTTATTGATGTAAATAAGGTTGTGGAATATGTTCAAAGTCTACAGAAAGAAGATGGTTCTTTTGCTGGAGACATTTGGGGTAATGTCAGATTTTGTCCATACTACCATAAATTGAATATCAATATATCCTGGTCTTGGTAGTAATCAGTTTATAAGGAGATTAAGTTTTTCATCTTTTCAGGTCCCAGTAAGCAGCTGGTCTAACTGGAGTTAATGGTCTGGAGGTTCCAGCATGCCCTGTGGTAGTTATATCAGCATACAGGAGCACTGGAACAGAGGGGCCCAATCTAAAAAGATAAGGTAGGTGACATTTTTTTCCCCCAGTATTTGGTGGTTTTGTAAAGTTTTAAAAATTTTTGATGGAAAGAGAACAAAAAAAAAACAACAAAATTTCTGAATATTTGAATGGGGGGAGGGAATAGTAGTTTATTTGATAAATGTAGATAATCTCTGCTTTAGGGCTGAACACAAGTGCAGACCAGAGAGACCAGCTGCTTCATGGGATATGAAAATCTACTTTTGTAAAATAGGGTAAGTTTATTGCATTTTAGAAATTACTAATCCTTTCAGTTCTATGTAAATAAATTAGGATAATTTGCTCTTATTTGTTAGTTTTTAGTTGTTAGTTTCTTCAGTTTTCTCCTGACTATACAACGTAAAAGTTAAGCTCAAACTTCTGGAAATTTTGAGATATTTGTCTGACATTGTTTTTAATATAACTTGAACTGTTATGATTAGAAGCCTCTGGTAACATATGTTGGTTTAATCCATTTTTGTTTTAGGAGAAATTGATACAAGATTCTCCTTTTGTGCAGTGGCAACTTTGGCTCTGTTGGTAAGATTTGACTATTGATATTGAAATGATTATATAGACATTCATGAATATTCTGGAATTTAATAGTTTCTTTTCCTTCTGTGTATAGGGGAAACTTGATGCTATTAATGTTGAAAAGGCAATCGAATTTGTTTTATCCTGTATGAACTTTGATGGTGGATTTGGTTGTCGACCTGGTTCTGAGTCCCATGCTGGACAGGTAATTTATATTGATTATGATTCAGTGTCCATTTTGAAGAGACCATTTGTAGTAAATTTGTTGAATGCAAATGAAGTTAATTTTGATTGTAATGTGGGATATTACATAAGAATTGCTTAGTGCTACATGAGGGGAAAGCATTTTTACAATACTTTGTCCCATGTATATACCTTCCTTCTTAGTAGATACCTCTGATTAGGTAGAACATAATTAGATTAAGTCTTCATAATGTTTTTCTGAGTGAGCACATTCTGCCAAGAATATCGTATATGTAAATGCTTGTGGAAATGGGCTGAAGAAATTTTGACAATATTTATTTATGTCAGGGCAGAATTGGCTCCTAGTAATAAAAGTTAAATACAAAATGGAGTTTAAACAGTTTGAATGATTTTTTTTTAATTACTTTTGCTATCAAGAAGTTATTATACACATGTACTTTATGTCTGTAATTTTAGATCTATTGTTGCACAGGATTTCTGGCTATTACTAGTCAGTTGCATCAAGTAAATTCTGATTTACTTGGTTGGTGGCTTTGTGAACGTCAGTTACCTTCAGGAGGACTCAATGGAAGGCCGGAGAAGGTATTGTTTCTTAGCTGTGTTCTAACATTACTAATTTTTTAACCCTGAGCAGACACTGCTTCTTTGTCATCACATTTCAATATTGCTATTGATCAATTATGAGCTTTAACTTTGCTGCATTGTAATTTTAAATAATATCCCCCCAAAAATACAGTCCTTGGCAAAACAAAGACCCTTCTAGAAGAAATTCTTAATGACCCTGATATCTGTTTTCAGAATTGAGTGTAATCAGTCAGTCACCACTATTCCCCATCCCCCAGTGTAAATATTTATTGTCTTGAGTTTTTAGAAGGACACCCTCCCACCCCATCTGAAGGCCTTGTATTTTTTCAGGCTTTGAAATGAAACCTTTTGCAAACCTTAGTTCAGGGACCTATACCAGGGTATCAGACATGCACTGAAGGGGTGAAATGATATAGCCAAAGGCTTTACTGTGACACATCTTATACATAAGTCTCCATGCCCATATATTTGAAAGCACAATTGATTTTGCCCAGTTTTGAGGTTTGAAAACTTAAATAAGACATTTTTCTGGGAAAACCCAAATTTTGACATTTTTAGAGGTAAGGTTACTGAAATTTTCCTACACATTATGTTCTAAACCTTAAGTGTCTAAGGGCCATACTGAACGCAGATTGAGTGAGTATCCATAATCTGAAATCCAATATGTTCTAAAATCTGAAAGCTTCAGATCTATATGATGCTACAAAGTGTAAAATTCCACACTTAACCTATGTGACAGATTACCACCAAAACGCACACTAAAATAGTGTATAACATTACTTGTCCATATGTTTAAACTATATATGAAACATGTTTTGGGGTGTTTTTGCAAATATTCCGAAATTTGAAACTCTGTTCCCAAGCATTTTGGATGTAGGATAGTCAGCCAGTGTTTTGATTTTGCTGGTATGCAGTTTTGTTTGCAGGACAATTTGTCCTATTGCAAATACAGTCATAGAAATAAGAGTCTGGCAGTGTTCCAGTTAAAATTATTGTGGGGTAACATTTGTATTTTATGATTTAAAAACTATTAGGTTATAGTCTAGATTTGACTCATGAACAAATCTAGGAACCATCTCCAGTACTAGTGTAAGACCCCATTAAATGCACATAGTTTTAAGTTATTTATAGTCTCACATCTGAACTTTTGGGAGGTCTTTTCCCCATCTTTCTGAAGGCTTGCTGTGCCTGTGACCCATGAACTAGGGCATGATGGTGCATTTCATTTGACCTGATGTATTTTTAAACTTTGCTTTATAAATATTTTTGGATAACATTAATGGCTAGGGAAATACCCACAAGTGATATGTAGATAAGGTCTGATTTTGAATCCTGGGGACCTCATTAAGAAAAATGGGTGGCTGTCAGAGCACCAAGAGCCTGCATATGAGTCTGGAGCAGCCTTTAATGTACATATAAATCCTTATGGGAGTTCATTAAAATGCAAACTGTTGTGGGTAGGATCTGCATTTCTTACACTCAGGTGACCACATTTTCAGGACTTAAGTGTGTAACCACCTGGACCGTACTTGTTAAAAATGCTGTACCTAGGAAAGTGGAAAATGGGTTTTGTGAGCCTTTACTGCTAGACTAGGCTTGTTGGTTAAGGTGCTAAGTTAGACATTAATAAAGATATATGTATGCTTATTCACTGAGAACTGAAACAGCATGGGTACGAGCGAGTGGGTTGGAGATTGGTCATTTCCAGTGATCAGTTTGAAAGAAACATTTCAAACAGTCTGTAACATCTTTGATTTCTCCCTGCATTGTTTTAACAAAATGAGACTTTTATTCACTTACAAATATTTCTAAAAACTTAAAAATATAAGAGGATGAAATGGTGACAATTTTTTGTGCCCTTTTCCCCTTCCAGTTACCAGATGTGTGCTATTCATGGTGGGTATTGGCTTCCCTAAAGATAATTGGAAGACTTCATTGGATTGACAGAGAGAAACTGCGAGCTTTCATTTTGGCATGTCAAGATGAAGAAACTGGAGGATTTGCAGATAGGCCAGGAGACATGGCAAGTATATTTTGAACATGTTTGTATAAGGTTTGGTTTTTGTTTTTAAAATATTAAATGTCCTGGTTCTTGGCATTTATGGTTGTAGAAATGATGGTACATCCAGTGGATGGTCCTAGTGTAGTTTTAAAAGTAGTGTATTTTTTTTAATAACTTAAAATGTAGTGAATGATATGGATCCAAGTTTAGAGAAATTTCTCATCACCAGTTCTTTGCCTCTGTATATGACCTGCATTCTCCTTTGAGTCTGTATTCCTTGTTTTACCTCCAAAGTCAGCTTTCTCTTACAGCAGCCTACATTATTCCTTGAATGTGTAATTCTCTTTCCTGATTTTGGAGGCTGGGGACCTCAGTAAAATTTAGTGTTATGTTATAAAGGTCAAGAAGTAAACAACAAGTTAGTCTCTTTCAGAAAAATTTTAAGCATAACTGACATTTTTAGTATTTATAACTTTAGAGACATTTTCATTTTGTAATGGTCTCAAATTTTTTTAATAGGTGGATCCTTTTCATACATTATTTGGCATTGCTGGATTGTCACTTTTGGGAGAAGAACAGATTAAACCTGTTAGTCCTGTTTTTTGCATGCCTGAAGAAGTGCTTCGAAGAGTCAATGTTCAGCCTGAACTAGTGAGCTAGATCACATTGTTGATGGAAAAGATCTTCCTAGAGTTTTGCCATCTCAACATTTCTGGTTTTGAACCTAAAAATTACTGCTAATATTTTGTATATTGTTAAATTAATTTTAATAAATTATATTACTATACATATTATAAAATAAAGGCTTGTATTGCATTTTCTTTTAGATTCCTCTTTGAAATGCTGTTATATGTTTTTTGTATAAATGTATCTGTTACTCTTATCCCCATAACAGGAAACTTAAAAGAATTTAATTTTACTTGATTTCTTTGAATGTGCTCCTGTATTCAAAAACCATAGTTCATGTTAATTGGTTTGTGTCAACAGAATGTTCACTGATGTAAATGGATAAACATGAATTAAAAGATGCACAAAATAATTGGCTGTTGAAATTTGGATATGGTTACTCTTTACAAAAATGTTCATAACTGTTCGTCCAACCTTAACGGTTTGGGGGGGAGAATAAGAGGTCTTTTCAAGCATGTTTTTGTCATCACCAAGTAATAGTCATTGTAGAGTTCTCAGTTATACAGCCATTGCATGTGGGTGAATTAGGTTATATCTTTGAGATGCTTAATGCAATTTAGTAGTGTAGTGTATTTAATAGCTTATGCATTAAGATGCTTTTCCTGGTATCCCTAGGAAAATGGTACTATGGTTTTATCTGAAGAGTATAATATTGCAAAGGTGAGCGTTTCTCCCCCCGCCAAAAAACTGCAGTTTAAACTTGTAGTCTTATATGTGTGAAACTGCAATACTTCGAAATTGGTGGTGTTGGGACTGAAATAGCCCGAGATCTCACCCAGTCTTCTTTTGGGTCCCTAACATAACTATGGACACAGCCTTGTGCATGCCATAGCCTTCGTGATGCTTTGATTTGAGTACAAGTCTTAATGTGTTGGACACTGGGCGCACCTAGGAACCAATGAAACCCCAGAGGTTGTGGAAAGCGGGCTTCCTGCTCTGCGCACCGTTCTCCCGCCCTTTTCGGTAGCAACTTCCGCCCTTGCCTCGCGACCAGGCGTTCACAAATGACCTTTCTGAGGCCCGGAGAGGCTTGTGAGAATGCTGAGACCTACTACCCCCGCTTCCGCTTCTGCGGCTTCCCCCTTACCCGGAGGGGTTCACCCGCGGTGTCCCCGAGGTCCCCGCTATGCTTTCGAACTTATGAAGACGCCTCAGAGCCGCCCTTCCGCTCAGGCCTCGGAGTCCTCTACTCCTCCCGGCACTTCAGGAGCCGCGGGGGATCGCAGCTGCAGCAGCAGCCTCCCTCACCAGCCGCCAAGCTCTCTGCCAGCCCCAGGCAAGGAGTGCTTGATGGGGTGAAGGTGCACCCCCTGGGCTGGGCGGCCACCACAGAGGAGGACAACGTGGTTCCTGGGGGGATGCAAAGAGGGTGTCCTGGGAATTGTATGGGTCAGGCCCATTAAAAGGCTGGATGCCTTTTCTCAGGTCTGAATAAGGCCGGAACAACACCCACTATAATGGGTGACAAGTGACAGGCTGTGCATGAATAGTCTCCAGGTCATCGAATGGGACGAAAATAGATTGATTTGAATATTTCATCTGATCCTAGTGAATATGTTTACTATTAAAAACCAAGTCCTTCAGGCTGAGGTTGTGGCCGTTCAGTGGTAGAGTGCTTGCCTAGCATGTGTGAGGCAATGGGTTCAATTTTCAGCACCACATATAAACAAATAAATGATAAAGATCGATCAATAACTAATAAAAAAAAGTCCTTCAAGTTAAGTTCGACTTATTTAAAAGATAAAGATGACTCGTTAACTGTTATGAGTGAGGAAACACTTCTATACTTAAGTCTTCTATACTTAAGATTAAGCTATCAGATTATTGAGATAAATACAAAAAGCAAACTAAAAAGCATCAGAATGAATATTAATTATGATTTTGAGGTATCTATCCATCATTGGAAATTTTAAGAGATAGTCTGAAATAGAAATCTGGAACCAGATCCAAGCTGTGCATTGCAGTTGTATGTGAAAATGATGCTTTTACCATGAACTGAAAGAGGGTGACAGTATTCTGTCCATTTCCATCTCTGTGCTATTGCAGACTCTCATAATTCTATGTCTAATTTTGTGACATAATTTTATGTCATATCCTTTCTTCTTCCAGGTTTACTTAGAGTACCACTAGAGTTATGTGGAAAATGCAAAATTCTTATATCCCATGCAACTTAAATCAGTGGCTCTGTATCAACAGGTACAAGGTCGAACTGTTTAAAAGACTGTCCATGGCCATTTTGGATCTGTTTCCAATCTTTATAGCTTTCTCACTGTTGTGACTAAAGGACCCAACCATCACAACTATAGAAGAGAAAGAATTTATTTGAGGACCCACGGTTTTAGAGGTCTTAGTCCATACAAGGCCAGCTTCATTTCTCAGGACTCAAGGTGAGGCAGGACATCATTGCAAAAGAGTGTGACAGAGAGAAGCAGTTCACATCATGGTGATCTGGAAGCAGAGAGAGACTGTACTCTCCATATACAAAATATATACCCCATAGCCACGCCCTAATTCCCACCTCCTCTAGCCATACCCTACCACTCTAGTTACCACTCAGTTAATCCCTATCAGACGATTAAATTACTAATTGGAATAAGACTCTTAAAACCCAATCATTTCTCTTCCTTCTTGCATTGTCTCAGCGTCAGCTTTTGGGAGACACCTCACATCCCTTCTTTTAAAAAATAAATAAATAAATGTATTTTTTAGTTATTGATGGACCTTTATTTTATTCATTTATTTATATGCAGTGCTGAGATTCAAACCCAGTGCCTCACACATGCCCAGCAAGCACTCTACCTGCTTCTTGATATTTACACTGCTTTAGAACAAAACTGCGAAATTTGCAGTTCCTCCAAGGCTATGTTCATATTGTTAGTGGTTTTCCTCTTCGCAAAATACATTGCCATCCATTTATTTTCATCAGTTCTAATAATATCCGCTAATTAAAATTCATATACTTCATTCTAGTTTCTTATTAGGAATATTAAAACTCCAATGCTCACTATAATTCTGCAAAGTAGGGATTTTTGTTGTTATTTAGTTTTGTTTGTACTGGGGCTTGAACTCTGGGGAAGCTGAACTACATTCCAATCCTTTTTTAATTTGAGACAAGGTCTCACTAAATGGCTTAGGGCCTCGCTAAATTGCTGAGACTAGCCTTGAACTTGGATACTCTTGCCTCAGCCTCCCAAGTCACTTGGATTTTGGGTGTTACCACTGTGCCCAGCCAAAGTAGGTGTTTTGTTCCTCTTTTACAGAAAGAACCAAGACCCAAATAGGTGAGCCAAGGCTCAAATTGTTAGGAGCTGTGAATAAGAAAAACATGCTTTCAAGGAATTTATGGTTCAATAAGGAAGACAGGTTTACAAATCTATACATACACTTTTAAAAGATAACTATATTTGAAGACATTTTTGAGATATTTATAAGTAGGAAAACCAAAGTGGGAAAAGAAATTCTATAGAGTAAGTGCAACATGAATTGGTTTTAAAAGTAGGACAAAGAATACCAACTAAAGGGAAGTAGAAAAGAAACCAAAGAGCATTCTTGAGAAAGAAAAACATGTGCAAAGGCACAGAAGCAGCAGGATAAAACTGCAAATAGTTTTGTGTCACTAGAACAGATGAGCTGATGTAGTTAAATTTAAAGTACTTACGGGAATTAGATCTGAGAAGCAGATTAGTTTTATTCTCCATGCCAACATCAGGTCTTCTCTGGCTTTGATAATTGAATAGATGGTCATTCTCTTACCTGATATAGGAATTTTTTAGTAGAAACAACTTTTAGAGGGAAGTTGATGCGTTCTATTATGGACATTTTGAGTGTGAAGAGCCTCTGGTATGTCCATATAGCTAGGGCTAAGAAGAGACATTTAGAAGAGATACAGATTTAAAACTTATGTATATTTGGGATCAGAGGAGAGAATATGAAGGAAATACAGCAAAACAGAGGTTAAAAAAAAAGTTGGAGGAAAGCTGAGACAAGTGAACAAGTTTCAAGAAAGGACTCAGAATCTAAAAGTAGCTTGAGAACAAGAAACAGTGGTCTCTGTCTTCAGTCTCTAGTACCTAGTTCCTTCCTTAATTTTTTTAAGCCTGGAAATGCTCATGAAGGGTATTTTGTCAGATTCTGTACTTTTTATGATACCCCTGAATTATCCACACCGTTGTGGATATTTTCTGAGGAAGATACAGGCTTGAAATGTGCTGATAGGAGTGGAGAGAGTTGGAAATTTTTCTAAGTTTACAATAAACAAAAAGAATTATAGGACTTGGTAATTCTGACTAGCTGTTAGGATTGATAAAAGAGGAATTAAAAGTTACTACTAAGTTTATGACTTGGGTGTCAGGATCCAAGATGGCACAATTGACCATGACTGGTAATAAATATTGGGGGAAAGATAAAAAGCTCTGTTTTGGATTTAAGTTCTGGGAAAATATCTACAGGTTTATGTCCAGAAAGTAGTTAGATACAGTGATCTATACTACATCCTCTGATGGAATTTTCTGTGAGGATTAATTCAGTGTAGTGGCACATGTCTCTGATCCCAGCAGCTAGGGAAGCTGAGGCAGGAGGATCACAAGTTCAAGGCCCACTTCAGCAAATTAGCAAATCCCTAAGAAACTTAGTAAGACCCTGTTAGGAGCTGTGAATAAAAAAGATTTAAAAAAAGGTCTGGGAATTAGTGCAGTGTGGGGCCCTGGATAAACAGGACTTTAAGTCCAGATGCCCCAGGGTCCTGAACAATTATTGCAGTTTCTCAGTAACTTGGGCATTACCCAGCTCAGATAACAATGCTGGGCTCCAGGTGTAGTTACACTCACCTGTTTGTTCCTTTGTAATCCTACCCCTTCTGCCTTTTTTGAATAGAATGTTCTAAGAAACAGCATCCTCCTCCCCAAATAAAGGCCCACTTCCAACCATTGGCATGTCTGTCTGTCTGTCTGTCTCTCTCTCTCTCTCCCTCAACTTTGTCTTGTCCCCTTCTTGGGGAGCCTGAGGCTGGGAGACAGGGAAGCTGTCCTGAAGCTTATAAAAGGTATTTTGTGTCTGTGTGGTATTTTGCGTCACCCCAAATTCACATGAGTAACTTTAGTTCAGCTGCTTGCACTGGACAGGGGCAGCAGTGCAGTAGTAAAGCACTCTTGGGTTCAATCCAAAAAAAAGAAGAAGAATTTTCTGTGAGGATAGAAATATTCCATATCTATGCTGTCCGTATGGTAACCAGTTGACAAATGTCACTTTTCAGCATTTTAAATGTGGCGAGTATGACTGAGGAATTGAATTCCTAATTTAATTTTTATTTAAATAGCCACATGTGGCTAGTGGCTTCTACATTGAACAGTGCAGGTGAAGTAGTAAG